CAGGCCTACTAATGGATGAATGGGTGAAGAAAACAATATGTACGCAGAATAGGATATTGTTTCACCATAAACATAACTGATACTCTACCATCTGCAGTAAAATGGATAGAGCTTGTCATGTTACATAAGTCATACGCAAAAGGCAAATACATGTTTTCTCTCATATATTAATGACAAAACATTGACCAAAATACACCATAGCCTTCTCTAAAGGCTGAAAAGAGTAAGGAAGGGTCATAGAGACAGGTTTGATACTAAAACACTGTTAGGTAGTAGTAGGTAGTAGTGTTCTGTAACTCTAGGGTGTTAGTTCATAAGGACCTCCTATCTATGATTAGAAAGAAGGAGCCAAAGGACTACAAACTCAAAGTAATAATGAGGGAATGGAAACATTAGTTGCCCTCATTTGACCAGCGTGTATTGTATACATGCATTGAAATATCACACTATTCCATGTACAACTATTGTGTGTGAATAAAAAATTTTGAAAAATGTTAACTCATTTGATTTATTCATTATACACTATATACATGCATCAAGTTACTAAACCAATAAACTCACACAATTAAAACAACTGATTACATTTAGAAAACACTCTCAAGAAGAAAGGGATGAATACATTAGGATTCTTTAAAAATACCTCATTATATAGATATGATTTTTTTCAGGATTTTTTAATATTTTTATTTTATTGAGAAATATCAATGAGACAGTTTCAAAGCCAATTAGTAGGACAGTTTCAATAATTAATACATTGAATATTGTTGTCTTCATAGTGGTTATTCATAGTACAAGATTCAGACATGATATCCTGTCCAAGCACTATTAGTACAAATCTTTCTTCTCATTGAATTAAAAGAAAGTAGCTGTATATCTATTCTATTTTGCATATGCAGATACAAAATGGTCCTTCATCTGTGTCCCATTTTTTTTTTTTATAGTTTTGTCAGAGATGGGTATTCCTTTGCCATTTGAGTATTGTAGATGCATGAATTCAGCAAAATAATCCAATATAGTCCAGTAGTCCATAATAGTAGTGGGTTATCCATAGGACTGGCAATATCAGAAGTCATTGATTTGAACCTTTTACAGTTCAGCATATTAGATATGATTTTGGAGAAACAAATATTTTAGATAATTACAAAGCAAAATTAAATATAAAAAACCTCTAAAAGTCAAAAGCAAATTGAAGGAAACAACTTCTATAACAAGTACCATGACAACAGAGAAATTCTTCAGCTTTTTTTTTTTTTTTTTTTTTTTTTTTTTTGTGGAACCGGGGATTGAACTCAGGCCCTTGCACTTGCCAGGCAAGTGCTTATTCTACTGAGCAATCTCCCTGGCCTTTTCTTCAGCTTTAAACACATTAATTTGATTTTGTATACCTAGTGGTGTATATCCTAAGAACAAAAAATGCAAAAAGAATGTATACTATTTATAATGAGTATATTGTTGGCATTGATAATCATACTGTGACCCTAACACTAGTAGTGTGAGATTAAGCAGATGAGTAATTCTGTTGCTGTGTTTGAGAACTGGAATTTGGAGCATTAGAGGAACTAGATGGAGATGAAGATAGCTAAGATGAATGAGGCTTTAGGAGCTTCGTGGCCCTGAATTTGAATTGCACTAACAGTAGGTCTTTGCAATGGATTTTATTTTTAAACAATATTTCCTACCTCTGTTCACTGTAGAAGCCTCAAAACAATGACTAATTGCAATAGCAGCGTGTGCCACTAACCACCAGACTTTGGTTTCTAAGTGACATTTTATACTGAAAGGAACTAGGATCCTTGGAGAACTGACAGATCTGAGAAATACAGCTGTATTTCTTTCCAAGCAAAGAACTCATGAAGGCTGAAAGGTTTATAAAAGACTCAGGGGTCAATGTGAACAGGCTCTTCCTAAACAAAGATTAAAAAAGCACTCCCCCCCAAAAGAAAAAGCTCCTTGGTTTTCAGGTAAAATAGTACCTATAATGGTTTGAACCCCATCCTATATGTTAAAATCTTCAAGTTTATAATACTTTAAAAAGTAGACTCCTCAGTGGCTGCCTATGAATGATTCTGTCACCTCAACTCTTTTCTGAAATAAAGAAGAAACAGAGGAACAGTCTTTTGCCTTTTCTATATGAGTGGTTCCTGAGGATAATCAGCCTTGATAAGACACTTGTCTTTTCTATGGGAGTCTTTTTGCTAATAAATAGAGAATCAGTGGTAGAATGCTAGTTTCCATGTCACAATAATGGCTCTGGACAACGACCACAAAGCAGCTGCTAGTGCCACAAAAAGAGAGACACCGCAGTGGGTGCCTGCTACGGAAAGTCCCATAACTTAAGGATGAGGATTAGATCTCAATTTGATGAAAACCTCTTGATCTGTCTATCAGCTTTTAAAAAGAAAAGAAGAACAGAAGAATGGACTAACAGCTGCTGTAAGTGCACAATCTGCAGAGGTTAGCCCCAGGGAACCCCCAAATACCAACAATCTAATTTCTTCCACAAATAAATTGCAAGGAAAAAAAAAAGGTAAAGATAAATTAGAGACTAAAATAATCTTAGAAGACATATCAACCAGTTGCAGAAGTTCTACTGGATTGTAGTATTCAACAAATGGTTAGAGGGAAATATGCATATGAAAATTAGAGCAATTTAAACCCTGGATATTTGATGATATTAAGGATGCATTAACTTTAAAAGTGTAATAATTATCGTGTAGTTATTTTGTCTTAAAATTCACATCTTTGGGACACATATTGCAATATTTATAGATAAGGTAATATTATTTCTGGGATTTGCTTTTTGGTGGGGAGTAGAGGTGAAGCACGTGTGATAAAATGGGGAGCTACACTATTTTTCCCAACTTTTATGCTTTAGATACATAAAAGAATGTCATTTAGAATTCATCTCAGGAAATACATTGTGGAAATAAGTATTTACTTCGTGCAGTAGTTACTATGTTAAGAATGTTCTCCGGTTAGGACTTTTTGTATTTTACCCCACTTCCCCAAGTACATTTGTAATAACATACACTTAGAATTTATTAAATATCAAGTATGTGCCAGATGGTTGTTCCAGGTATTGAGCATGTATTGTCTTGCTTAAAACTGACCAGAATCCTGGGAAGAAATTCTACCATCTTCAATTTTCATGTCACACTGGGAGATTAAATACCTCAAACCAAGATGCAGCTAGCAGAGGTAGGAGCCCGTCGTGCAGCGCAGCTCTTGCGGTGCTCAGGGCTGCTTTGGTGTCCATCCCTGCTCAGCCTGCACGGCTCCCAGGAGCAGACACCTCGAGGGGCAGGGGCTGCCGCTGCATGTGTGTTTCTTCCATGTTCTTGACTGGCATCCTTTGCCCAGATTCAGTGTTTCTGGAGAGATAATTTGCATTTTGCCTAAATAAGACACTCCAAAGCTAGTCAGTACTAGCCACTGTGGGAATCTTTAATGAGACAAGCTGTTCCCCTTTCCCACAAGAGGGAAGGAAAGGCACAATTTGGGTTCTGACATTCATCTTGCCCCAGCGTGGGTTTTTCAAGCAAAGTGCTGCTGCTAGGCAGGAGTGGGAGGTGTGTCCAAAACGTGAGGTCTTCGCGTAACCATGCTTGGGCACCGATGAGGAGGAAGACTACAGTGGGTAAGAAATGACATTGCAGCACTAAGCAATGCAAACATCCTTGGATAAAGCTCTGTGGCCCCAGGGGGATGGTTCCTACTTCTGGGATCCAGGGAAGCTTATGAAATCTTTTCAAAGGGATTCGAATGTTCAAGTCATCTGTGCATTGTCAGAATATTTTGCATAAGTCATCACCAGGCAAGGAAATTAAAAATCTCAAGTCAGTAAGATCTTTATAAAAAGTGGTCCACTCCCTTTCTTGGAGCAACTGTAATTTGTGATAATTGAAGCTTTATTGGGAAAGTAGCAGTTCAGGAAGATGACTCCAGTAAGTTCTGTTTTGGGTTTCAAGAGATTGAATGATTGACACTAGACACATAAAACTATAGCAATGTGAGAAACCTGATTGATCCAAGCATCTTTTATCTCCTACCTAATTGAAATGGAGGCAATTTGGACACTTTTCTTGAAATGAATAACAAATATAATAAATCTCAATGAAGTAATTGAATACTTCAAGGAAAGTTAAAAAGAAAAAAAAAAAACAGCAAGCAGGCTGGGGATGTAGCTGAGTGGCGGAATACTTGCCCAGCATATTGCAAAGTCCTGGATTCCACTCCCAGGACCACCCAAACATTAAATTAAAAAATACAGGTGGAGATCCCTAAACTAAGAAGCTCAATTCATAGTTGGCCAATAAATATTTAGAAAATTCCCAAAGTGTCCCCAGGATTAGTATCATTATATGCTCATCATTTAAAATTGTTTATGCCCCTCTTTTCTGTGCCTGTGTTTCTCTTGGGGATCTTCGATTATGGATAATCAGATCTAAGTCCCACAGGATTCCTGTTCCAGGAGCAAAGAGGAATATTAAGTGGCAAAGTTGATATATTCTGTTCTTTGCTTTAAATGTGAAAATTTCCTCCATGCCAAAGACGCTTCTCTCTTGCCTCATAGCTGTTGAACAGCTTCCAGATCCATGGATGGTCCCAGAGAGACTCAGCTAAACTAAGGATTGTTTCTGAAGCTAAAATATGATACTTACAATGAGAATTAAGTTTTAGCTCATGGATATTTATTACTTGTCCGATGTGTATGTCACTTATTAAACTCTGCCAAACCAAGTCCCTGACATTCATGCTTCTTTATTTCAAAACACTGCAATAACAACTCAAATCAGCAAAAGTTTGTACAAGTTGGCTGATTTCTATGAACATAAAAAGAAATTTAAAAAAAAAGAATACTGGGTTTTTTTTCCTAGCACTTTAAATATATCTAGTCTTTGTATTTCTTATACTTTGTGATCTTGAGAGAGACGGTGGCTATCTCTTTGGGTAAGATTGCTAATCACATCATGTAAGACTGTATTATACTATGACCATAGAACGGTGATGGCGAGCCTTGTGTGCTCAACGCCAAATCCACTTATGGATCGCAGAATGTCAGCGCTGCAAAGCTGAGTGCCCAGCTGCTGGGGCAAGCTGGAGCCTGTGGCCAGTGTGTCTGCTGTGGCCCGTGTGCCGTAGGGTCGCCACCACTGCTGTAGGCAGTGAAGGTGGCACTGACACCCACCCTGGAGTCCTGGTCAGCACAGGCAGCCAGAACATTCTCCTCTCAGCACCCCACATCCTCTTTGCCTCTGGAGATGATCTTACCTGTACATACCAAAGATGATGGAAATCTTTAGATAGCTTCTCGCTCTGCCTTCCACTGTTTTCAACAGCTAATGCACCCTCATCTTCCTGGTAAGCCTTTCTCTTTTTTTCTAAAGCTTCCTGCATGCCACATCCCTTCCCTGCATATCCTCAGAGAACTGACTGCAAGTTAGCCCCGTCTCATTTTTAGCTTCCTTAATTACAGGCTCTTTGTAGTCTGTCTTCAAAGTTCTTCAAACCTCTTCTTTCTAGAAAAAAATTTCACTTGCTCCCTATGGCTTCTTCCTAACCCAGAATCCTGTGGCAGAAGACCTATTTTTCATTTTCTCATTCATTTTTTAAAAACTCTTCTCCACACATACTGTCCTGTCCCCATTATGTAATAAAGTCCTGTCTAGGCTTTTGACACACCAGGATGTGTCTTTACCTTTCACCTCTGCCTGTGTTTTAGGCCCAGTTTCTTCTCCTTTATACGCAGATCCTGTGCAGCTGTGATCCTACGTCACCCAAGATGACTCTTGAAGCCACACTGATTCCTCTTTCTTGTATTATGATTTCTGATTCATGGTAACTAGGCTCAAAATTATGGACAAGGATATGTTGGCTTTTATTTCTTCAGTAAGATTTTGAGTTTCTTAAGACCATATTACATGGTCTTCTTTACTACTCCTACTCCCAGTCTGATCTACAGAAATAACAAGAATCAAATGGTTATTAAGTCATAGAAATCATTAAATGTGTCCTTTTGGGAAGAAAACCTCACTTCCCTGGCAAGTGAGTGATAGCATTTCAGAGTTATTGACCTAAAAAGCAATAGCCATTTTGTTGTCATTCTCAGCAGCAAGTGCTTCCTGAGGCCGTTCATAGTATCTAGTATATTATTAGGTTATGTCACTTCTGTAACTCAATTTTAGAATATTAAGACATCTTTAGACATTAGAAATCTGTTTACAAATTCAACCATGCTCTAGATACATTAATAGACCAAGTAACACAGGTTTGTGTACATAAATAGTAGGTATACCATTGGTTAATGTATAAATGTAGGTGGAGGACACGCGGACATTCTGACAAGATGTCACATAGAGAATGACATTGAGTTAACCAGTGATTCCCCTAAAGGAGGTGGATTTCAGGCACATTTCTGTTTAGATTTAAAAACAGAAGAGTGTCCTTGTACAAAGAGCTGGAGTGAAGAATCAAAGACCAAAATGAGAATTTGTAGAGAAGGGTGGAATGGTGATACATCCAGAGATGTGGGCCTTACCTTGGAAACAGACTCAGTCCAAGACTGTTTTTCTGTCATCATGCTACATCATTGTCATATGTCATTTGCTCATTAGTAACTAGAGCTGACATAATCAATGCACTTGTCATTATGAATTTTAAGCTGTGAAATGAAGCCATTGCAAATGTGAAGCATTTCTTTATTTCCTGGGTCATTGTATGTTAGGTAGGCTCATTCCTGTTGGGTGGTTTTGCCCCGTTGGATTTCACCCATGTACCCAAGCTGACATGAGCCTCAGGTAGCTGCCATCAGAACTATGGACCGTTGTTACTCCAGCCATATGTTCTTCGATACACTGTGGCATCCCTGGTAGGTGGTAACACTTACTGAGCAAATGCATCTTTTTCTTTTCCCAAGAAAGTCAGAGTACAGTGGGGAAAATCTACATAGGTAGTTAAATGTGAGAAGAAGTGAATTCTATTTTTTTTTTCAGTTGCATAACATATGACTTTTCAATTTCCTTCAGAATCTTATTCTTGTGTAAGGATAGAGGCATTAACTTCCATTTATGGTAATTGAGAAGGATTATGGGAAAGTGTGTCCCAGCTACCTAGTCTGGGTCCTGCTACAAGGGGTGCATCTCCTTGGTGGTTTTCAGTCTGTGGACTCCAAAACACTTGCATCAGTATCACTTGGAGTGAGAATCTGGGGAGTTGTCTCAAACTTGCAAAGAGCTGCCTCAGAACTGAATTTTGATAGAACATCAGATAAGTCTTCAAACTGGGTTTGAAAAATCCCTAGGAGATGTGTGTTCATGTTCTCTCATCTGTTTTCCTCCTACCATTTTTCTCATTTTTCCTTTCCTTTTCTCCTTGTACCTCATTTAATGCAACTCTGCATGAAGAATAAGAATTTTATGGTACTGACTATATCATGTCTTTTGTCAAGTTATTTTCACCTTTCAGGGCTTCATTTTTCTCTTATGTAAAAAGAAAATTGCCTACTTCTCCAGTCACTGCTTGGAATAAATTATTAAAATGGCTCCAATCACTGTAAAAAAAAAAAAAAAAGCACACACACAAATGATAACTGTAACAGGAATAATTAGAATTGTTGTGGAGGAGATCTTTTTTAATTAAGAATGAAGCATAGTAATGCTCACATGTGATTCATAGCAGAAAGTCGAGCTAACCTAGCACTAGAGTGGAGATGAGGTGCATACTGTGGTGGGGGGGGAGGATGCCAAAAATCCAGGGGTCAAGATAAGTATTCTATTTCAATACTTTTTAAAACTCAAAATTAATAAAAAATAATTGATGACAAACCAAATTTTAAATAAACGTGGATTGATACTGTGATTTTTTCCTTTCATCTCTGGTTCTAATAGGACTTGACATGGTGCTGTTACTGATTTAAAAAATTACATTAAAATATTCTTGATTACTGATTTTTTTTTTGATACCCCCTCAAATTTCACACCTAGGGTAAATACCTGATTTTTGCCTCACTATACTTCTTTCCCTGGCTGATCTCCATATTGAATTGCTTTGGTGTTTAATTAGCAAAGCAGATTGGACCATTTCTATGCAATTTTTTTTTTTACTAGAATCTCTACTGACACTTTTTGATGGTGTTTGTATGAATATTTGATTTTGTGGCATAGGTGTTGGAAAATATCTACATTTTGAGAATATCAGCATGGATATAAGTGATTCAGACATCTCTCAGAAAGAAATATTATTTTGCAAATGACTGTGTCACCTAATGAATATATTAGGTAGTCAGGAAAGTAACAAGACTTGTAGTCTGTGGTCTAAGGCTCATTTCTGATAGTTCTCAATAGGGACTGGAAAATCAGGAGTCAACAAAAAAAGGAAAAAAATGTTTAAGTAGATCAGAATCAGCCTGCCAAGAAAAGTGATCATGGAAAGAGATTTTTGGATAATTAAATGTCAGTTTGCATGTTGAAATACTGCCTGCTGCCTCCCACTCCATCATCAAGTGAGCTGCAAGGGGATGGTCTCTGTGCAGACCCAGAGCCAACTGCAGCACTGCTAGCTGCTCCAGGAAGCTCGAGCTGCAGGTCTACCGGAGCAGGTCTTCTTCCCGTGGCAGTTCAGTATACCCCGTCAATCATGGTGGGCATTGTGATTTTCTCTTATAGGGGAGGGGGACAAATGCACCACAGAAATAAATCTGCATAAACCTTAGGTATTTTAGAACAAGGGTGAATTTTTGAGGTGGCCAGGTTCATTCACCTTCCTTTACAAAGAAGGAATTTGTCACTGAGCCAGGTGGTTTCTCAAGGTCATTCAGCTATCAAGTGACTGGCAGAGCTGTCACTTTCTTCCTCTTTAACGATGGAAGTGTTTGTTAGGTTGCAGAGTAGGGGAGTTAGGCAACAAGAGGTCATGTCCTCCTGTTCCACGCAGGCAAGAGGTGAGTAAGCTTTTAGCTCTGATGTGCTAGTGCTGGAAAGTGAGGAGGCTTTCCTGGCGGGCTGAGCTCCTACATTCCTTGGCACTCCAAGAAATACTTCTATTTCTTTCTCCCCATTGCACCAATTATTCAGATGCAAACTCTGAATCAGAGTCCGCAGGGGTAAGGGTTGGGCATATGGGTTTTGGTTAAAGCGCCTCAGGAGTCTCCAACATGGCTCTTCGGCAGAGACAGCTGCATTACAGATTTCTTTTCTTTCTGACAGAAATATCTGTCTCAGTCATGACTTAGTATGAATTAATCCAAGAGAAGGTTTCAGTAGGATATAGGCTGTAGCATAGGCACCTTAGGAAAAGAATATATGAAAAGGCAAAAGAAATGAGTTATTTAAAAGCTAATATTTCCTGTGTTCCGCTTTGTCCAGTCGAGATAAGAAGGAGAGGTGCTTAGAGGCATAGTTGGTAGCATGACAGCGAGTTTTTCTCCTTTTTCTGCTCATGCTCACAGCCAGACAACGCGCTTGCATGCCCTACTTGGGGCTCCCTAAGCTTCTTGCTTGGACGTGGGCCTGTTATCCCCTACAGGGTATGTAGACGGGCTCTTTATTGTCATCAAAAAACGAATTTTTAAAAACTTTTTATTAGTACACGTCTACTGTCCCTTTCTCACCCCCAAACAGGCAAATATTCTCATATGT